TGACGGAGCGGCGACAGCGCTGGCAGCCACGCAGGTAGGCGCCCGAGCCGGCGCCCATGACCACGGCCTCTGAGTAGCTGGGCACCAGCTGCCGGTTGGAGCAGATGTGCCACTCGAGCTCGGTGAAGTCCACCGTGGCCACGCGGGACAGCGGGGGTGCGCTGGGCGCGGCCCCCAGCGGGGACGAGCTGGCGCCGAAGAGCTTCTCCACCTGGTAGTGCACGTGCGCCGTGCCGCAGGCCGCCACCACGCGCAGCGGCCAGGACAGCGTGGCGGCCGACACGAGCCAGAAGACCCAGGCGCGCGCGTACCAGGGCGGGCTGCGGGGGTCGGCGAAGACCATGAGGGACTCGCGGAAGTCCACGTCCTTCAGGTGCATGCCCTCGCGCGCCTCCAGGTAGTCGTCCAGGCCCTCGTGGGCGCCGAAGAAGCGCGCGCGCTGGGTGAGGTACGAGGCCTCGGCCTCGGCGCTGCCGAAGCTGAAGCACTTGGTGAAGCGCAGCCGCGTGGCCGCGTGGTCCCCCAGGCCCACCAGCTCCTTGGAGACGTCGCGGACGCCGTGCGCCGAGTAGTCGAACTCGCCACGCGCCGTGCGACTGTCCGCCCTCTCGTGGTAGACCTGCGTCGTGGTGTAGGCGTCGCCGTTCCGGTAGCGCGTGATCTGGCGCGTGCGTCGCACGTAGTGGTAGCTGGTGGCCTTCCACCAGACGCACGGTGGCGCCTGCTGCAGCCGGCGGATCAGGGCCAGCACGGTGTGGGCGTCAGTGCGCGGCGCCTGGCACGACCGCACGTGACAGTGCCAGCACTCGGCCAGGTAGAGGAGGTAGAGGAGGGAGACAAAGGCCAGCGGGATGTACAGGTAGCCATCGGAGCAGGGGCTGGCCGGGTAGGTGGGCGGCGGGGCCCCGGCCCCACGGGCCAAGGCTGCCTCAGGCCCCAGGACCAGCCGTGGCACTGTGGCCAGGCGACACCAGGCCACCACGGCCCCGCAGGCATGGATGAGCAGCGTGAGGAGCAGGCACTTCCAGTGCGACTCGCGGCACAGGGAGCTTCCCAGGGACTGTTTCAGGGGCCGCTGCTGCAGGGTGGGCAGAGAGGGAGGCATGTGTCAGGACCGGGCCATCAGTGGTGCCTGGACTCGGCTTAACCACGTGAAGGACGGGGTGCCATAAGCCCTCTTTACAAAGAAGGAAACTGAGGCTCGGAGGGATTGAGCTACTTACGCCAGGCCTCCAATTTCTAGCTAACTCATGGTGGCACTGCAGGATTCAAACCCGGGCCCCCGTGCCGCAAGCCTGTCCTTCACTGTGCCCTGCTATCTCAGCCAAGGGCACCCAGGACACAACAGACCCATCTCTCCAGGAGAGGAAAGGACCACCACACCCCTCCACACTGGCTGTTGGGAAAACTGAGTTCTGGTCCCGGCTCTGCTCTGACTTGCGTGGACTTGGCCATATCCCTGCCCTCTCTGGGCCTTGATTTCTGGTCCTGGTGGCCTGGGAAGGAAGGGTCACAGGGGTCTGAGGGATGAATGGCATGGGCTTTGGAGCCCAACTGCCCAGGATCCAGTGCTGGCTCCACCACTTACTCTCTCTGGACTCAACTTCCTCATTTGTAAACTGGGGCTGTTGTGAGATTCAACAAAATTGTGTGTGTGAAGATGGTAGCACAGGGTCTGGCCATTAGAATAAATATTACTACTGTTACCCTGCAAGTTCCTCTGGTCCCTTGTTCCACTAGGGACAGCAGGAGACTCGGGAGAGGCTTTTAAGTCAGTAAGAAAGAGCTGGGAATGGGGAGGAGTGAGTCTTGGGGGTGGGGAGCAGATGGAAGGCCATCCTACACCCCCCATCTGTGCTGATGTAGGGGGGGACAGAGCTGCTGGACAGCAGGAGCGACTCCCTGGCCCAGAGGGCTTGGCACACCCTCCCTGGTAGAGCTGCCAGCCTGGCCACCTCACCCCCATGTGCCTATGGAGAGAGAAGACAGTGGGGAAGGAGTGGGGAGAGGAAGGGTAAAAAGGGGGAGAAGGAAGTGGAAACAGCAGAGGTGGGGTTAAGGAGCCACGTCTCCTACCTAAGCCCCGCCAGACCTTGAGAGGCCCAAGAGGAAAGGAACTGCCCCAGCTCAGCCCAAGGCAGCCTGGCACCTTCCCATCACCCACCACAGGTGCGTGCCACCAGCCAGCTCTGCACCGCCAGTGAGGCGCACACGCCCACCCATCCATGCCCCCCAACACATGTTCATCTCAGACCCACCCACTATGGAGGTACAAGCTGCCTGTTCATCCAAGAAACACCAGACCCTCACCAAGCATGGTGCACAGGGATAGACAGACACACACACGCAGCAGACACAGGACACATGCACATCCATGTTACACACTCGCTGAAGCCGAGACACACCAGACCTTCACCTGACCACAGTGCACATCCCCCACCCCCGCCCCACTGCAATTTGCAACCTGATACCCACACCACCCAGACTTCACACCAGAGAGACCCACCCACAACAGGAAACGCTCACGTGCACACACACGCACCACTGGGTCAAGACCCGGGCCAAGGGACCCACCAGATCCTCACCCGACTACAGGGCGCACATGTCCTACCCAAGGTGGAGGGAACACACAGCCCCGCATTCACACACCCACACAAGCACACTAAATTCACCCAAACACACTCATAGACCCACTCACCACCCGATCATCCCAACGCACCCTACAAGGCCCCACACCCCTGCAGATCTTCCTGGCTAGGGCTGAGGAGGGGCTGTCCTGGGGGTCCCAGCCAGCAGAGTGGCCCTCAGTCCTCACCTGGGGGAGTAGGAGAAGGGGTTCCAGAAGCCACCTCCCTTCCTCTGTACCCTCCCCCCGTCCCTGCTACCGCTGCTGCATTGCAGGCGCCGCCCGGACACCTCGTGAGCGGCTGGGCAGGGCTGGGGGCCTGACCCCGTGGCCCCGGGGGTGGGGGACAGCTGTGGAAAGGGGACGCGTGGGGACCAGGCGCTGACGTCATAGGATGAGAGCGGCTGGAGGAGGGGGCGCCGGGGGCGGGCGTCGCCCCCACACTTCTGTCCAGCCGCCCCACCCCTACCCCACGCGGACCCCCAGGCGGGACCAGGCTACCCCCATGGCGTCATTGGCCCTAGTGGCTCAGGGACTTCCCTCCTCAGCCCCTCCTCCTGGGGTCGCCCCCTCGCCCTCCCCCTGTCCCCGCTCCCGCCCTGGCTCCGGTCCCCCCACCACACACAGCCGGGTACCTCCTCCCGCAGCGGCTCGCCGTCCGGGATGAGCGCGGGCACCTCCCCGCCGTCGCCACCGCCGCCCTCGGGCATGGTGTCCTGGCTGCTAGGGCGGCCCCGGCCCGGGCTTGCACGAGTCCTTGCTCCCCGGACCCTGAGTTCTGGGTTGTCAAATGGGGACAGTGAATCTCGAAGGTGGGCGGGCACCCACGGGGTCCCATCTGTAAGGAGTAGGCCCAGAGCTAAGCCCACTCAGACCCCACCCGGAAGCCTTACTTGTTGGGGAAGGGGGCAGTTACATCCCAGAAGGACGTGATGAGCCTCACTGGCTGGCCAGAGGCGCTGGGCTCCGCTTACTGTGGGCCAGGACCCAAGGCTGCGTGACCTTGGGCCAGCACGGCCCAACCCCAACCTCAGTGTTCCCATCTGAGAGATGGGGGTGGAAAGGCGTTGGCTTCAAATCACGAGCATCCACCACGTTGTACAGGGGAGTGAGATCTGTCCTGCAAGGGACGATCCCCTCCCAGGTACACTTGGCCCCGGTGCTGCTCCCTGGCCTCAGGGGCCTCAGATCTTCATGCCTGTGCCTGAGTCTGGGCTTTTCCCCCAATCTAGACGATCAG